GCAGGTGAACAGAGAGTGGCAGCTGACTGTCACTGTGACCGATGAGCTGGGACAGAAGTGGAGCCTATCTGAGAAGCAGTGGTTTGCTGACCTTGTAATAAGTGGTTTTGGCTTTGGTTTGGGTTTTTTTTGTTCCCTACCACATGTAAGAGAAATGGTTCATGGTAATGCAGAACAGATGGTTCGTAGCTTGCAGTTTGTCAGATTTTCTCTCTGACTCCCACTGGGAGCCTGATTAATCTGCAAGCAGTTAAAGGGTTTCTTTGAGCACAACACAAACTCTTACATACTCTCACAAAAAGTCTCTTCAGCTGATGGCTGTTGGATACTGCAGTACATAACCACTGATTGCGTGGTTTTACTTCACTCTTGTACAGAGGAGTTTATTTGAAAGTCAGAGCAGGCTCCTGACTACAGTGTGTAGGAAGAACATGGTCTCGTGACCTGGTATCAAGCATGTGGCACAGAATTTTCCATCAAGAGTCCTTTCAACATCCTTGTCGAAAACAGCTAATGTAGTCAAAATAATGGCTTAATCTGTAGGGATTCAGAACAAGCAGTGAAGTTTTTAAAAGTTACTTCCTCAAACATATGTTTTAGGCTTATTCCAGCTCAGCTCAGAAGCACTTTGGTGGGTGGTGGGTTTTTTTTGGTCTGACTAAGCAGCAGATGAGTTATAAAGTGACAGATGATCCTTGCACTTAAGAGCATATGCTGCTCAATTGCCTTCTTCCAAAAGTGATACTTGTTAACAAGTGACATATCATTGCAAAAAAAACCCCCAACCTTGTTAGACAATATTAGTACGATTCTCACAAAAATGCTGAATTTCTGGTTCTCTCTTCTGTAGGAATTTGACAAGAAATACAATCCCACTTGGCACTGCATCGTGGGAAGGAACTTCGGCAGCTACGTGACTCATGAGACCAAGCACTTCATCTACTTCTACCTCGGCCAAGTCGCTATTCTTCTTTTCAAGTCTGGTTAGAACCACGGACTGTTATGAAACTTGCACCTGGTTCCAGGACTGCACACTAACTCCAAACAGCCTCCTACCCTCAGCCTTCCTGAGGAAACAGACCTTGATCTTCAGGTCTTTTGTTGTTAATGGTCAGGGATTTTGCTGTAGCAGCTGGTATTTTCATTGTGGCTATAAAAAAGGCAAAAATGTCTTCCTTGTATTTATTTTCTTTCAGAAGACATTTTCTTTGCTAATAAAACTGTTGGAACAAGTCTAAGAGTTTTCTCTATCCTTCTGCCCTTAGTGCTTGAGTTACCCTCTTTATTCCACTGTGAATGAAGGATGCACATCCCCACTTCCATTTTGCCACCAAATCCACAGCATCTGAAGCTTGAGCTAATCTAAGAACATGTCATCAGTCAGTACCTGAGAACAGGTGATAGTTTCCCTGAGAGAAAAGAAACTGGTTTTCAGTTCTTGATAAGCATATTTTCAGGATGTCCCACCTCCACTGCCAATCCTGGAGTTTAGATACACAGGGAACTGGTGAGTTAAAAGCAATGGTCTCTTCATCTCCCAATTTTCAGAAGAGAGAAATTTTCATACTAGTTTATTACACACCTATCACTTTAGAATGTAAGTTTACCTTTTCTAATTTTTTTTTACTCTATCCCTGTCTCCTGCTACAGAAGAATCTGTTCTTCAACGGTTTAAAGAACAGAAGGAAATGCACAGTAGTTTTACACGGAGATTATGCATCCAACCCTGACAAAGATTTCATATGGAGGTGAAAATATGTCTTCTCATCCCAGAATATAGTTATGTGGTCATTCTTCAGAAAAAAAATTCCTTTCTTAGAAAAGAAACCTTACAAAGGTTAAAATACTGAGTTAAGTGAAAAAAGTTGATGCAGAGCTATTTTATTTCACAGCCTTCCATTTACCTTTGAAAGGAGTAAAAGAATCACGGGAAGAATCCCTTAAAGTCCATATGATAAAGATAATGACAGCTTAATAAAAATGTAATAAATCCAAGTTACTTCTCACTGGTGTGATACCCTCCTTGAAGCTTAGTAAGAAAAAGGAGGCATTTATTCAAAGACTAGTCAGTCTATTTCTGTATCCACGCCACAGGTAACTGAAGTTGCTTCATTGGCTAGCATCGCTCAGTTTTGGCCATGCCCTTTACATTGCACTTGAAGGGAAATGCCACAGGAGTCACTTCATCTGCAGGTTTCTTGGAGGGAAGAAAGGTAGCTGATGTTCTTCTCAGATGACTGCTGAGCAAGCATCTGTTGCACAAGTTCTTAAAACTCCTCTTCAATCATGACAGTATTAAAATTCCATAGCTTTCATATTCCTCAGGAAAATTACACTATGTTTTGCTACATAGCAGACTCATAGTTTGAAACCTGAGTGAATGGCAACAATCCCCAAGTTTAAATTCTGATAATCCACTTTTAAAAAGCCTGCATCTTCTACCATTGCCTTCAACTCCTCCTGAAAAATAACAGTTCCATAATTATAACAATCTGAAGGCCTATAAACCAGCTTGCCTGTGAGATTATGCTGGGACAATGTTTTGTGTGTTAGTGAATTCAGAGAAATACTGTCTTACCTGACAGGGGAAACGTCGGATGCTCTCCACGAGATACTGGTAAGACTTCCAGTCACCAGCAATAACCTCACCCAGAACAGGGATAACCTGGAAACTGTATAGGTCGTAGAGCCTGCACAGACAGACAGCAAATGCAGGTTAATACAAACAAGTTTAAAACCAACACTCTCCTACACAAGCTGATCTCTGTACCACTGTGCTACGGAGTCTGTATCTGATTTTTAAAGTGCACAACGAGGTGGCCTTAAAGTGCCTCCACCTCTTATTCTGTCTGAGTACAAATAAGAGAGCCTTGTGACATGGCATGAAGTGTCATCACGTTCCTACCTGGAAACAAGAGGGTTGCTGACATGACTAAATTCAAGGCAGAGAAATCTTCCTCCTGGTTTCAGCACACGATAGGCCTCCTGAAGCGCCTGAGACGAAGCAGATGCGATAAGTTTGTTTCTGTAGAACAGCACCTGCCTGTTATCATGCCATGTGATGGCAACACAGTGACGAACTGAGGGGAGTAAAGAGAATCCTGATTGGCAATCTCCAATATCGACTTGTGGAGACGTATCCCAAGGCAAGTACAAAAAACATCCCAAAACCCCAACAAAACCAAACCACAAACACTCTTGCTGTTACATAAATAGATTTATACCAGGCTTTGTATTGAAACTACAATGTCAGGTTTGCAATTTTTCTTCTTTTCCCCTACTCTTAGTTGATGAGTGTTTGCCAGCAGAGCTCTTGTAATTACAGACCAAACCCAAAAGGGAGAAGGTGACTCAGCTACAAGAAGCTGAAAACAAAGAAGGCATGATATTTTTTATTTTTTTTTAATCAAAAGAAAAGATTTTACTCAACCGTGAGGCACACCCAAAGGATCAAAGAAGAAATGATAGTGGGTTTTGGATGAGCAATGTGTGAGAACAGGGAGGACGGAGAGGGAAGAAGGAAATCTTTGCCTACTTAGAAAATTCCATCCTACATCCAAAATAAAACACCTAAGAACCACCAAGACAAAATTCTGTTTACAACTGTATGTTTTTTCACACGAGCACCCAGAAGATTTGTATTCAAGAACCTCTACATGTTGTACATCTGCTTGGCTTCAACTGTCATACTCCTAAGGGATAAAATATAAACAGTACACATCCATGACGGGAGCTCTGCGAAAGAATTGGAGGCTTAGATGTGTTTTGTATCTGGTCTCCAAGGAGCTATGCTACCAGACTGCTGTATCCACGAAGGCAAAGAGCCTGTGCTTCAGAAGGGTGCAGATGAAGCATCATGAAAAGCCATCCACATCAAGAGAAGTTCAAAGGCATACAGTTCAAGGTGGTATCAATCCAAACACTACACCTTCCACAGAAGGAGCATTGCCAAGGTTGTAACACGCTCCTCCAAAACACAGACAACTAGTCCAGCTAGACTAACCTATCTTCAGCCCCAAGACAGCTGGTCCTTCTCGAAGGACCGATATTGTTTAGCATAAAGGGTACTACTTACCCTAATTAAAATCATGCTCATTCTTCATGGGAAACTCTACTACCAACCAGCGTGAAAACACTGAGCAGAAGCAGGCTGAACAAGTTAGTTGAACGGCAGCGGTGGCAGCAGCCAGCGGCTTCCCATTCTGCTCTGGGAGCTCTGCTGTCTCAGGCAGGCAATCAGAACGGGGCAGGAAGCGTTGGACCCACCGTGGGTGGGATACGGATCAGGCGCTTCACGAAGATTTGACACACGCAGACTGACTGCACTGTGCATGTGTCGATTCAGTAACATCATAGGTCAGGAGAAGGTGGGGAATGACTGTAGCATTCAGCCCTTTTTGCCTTAGGAAGAGATTGCGCGGCTTGCCAGGCTGGCAGAATCGGGCACATCTAGTATAAATCTAACTTTTTATGACAAAGGTGGGGCATTTAATTGCATTTTTCATTCAGACAAGTTGCACACTACATGCCACTTATTTTAAATGCTTCAGGAGCAGACAAAGATGTTCCTTTATTCAAAGGAATTCCTCCTTTGCTTCCTCCACTAGCATGCAAAAAATCTCAGGTGAATCATCAGACCACCCTATAGCAACTTACCAAATCGATACGAGTTACATTTCGGATTCCAAAGGCAATTGTGTAAACATCAAACTTATCATCATCAAAGGGCAACTCCTCAGCATTCCCAAGCACCCAGGACAAACCTGTAGTAAATGCCAAAGACTCGGTATTGAACAAACCTTATAAAACTCAGACTGCTCCAGAAAGACTAGAATTTACCTATCTAGAAGGAAATTGTTATTAATAAAGCGATATTTAAAACTAATATTTCAATTTTGCATTCTTGTTGGAGGAAAGACACCTTGGTCTATACTCACAAATCTTTCAAGGCCCTGTACTATACAGCCGTCTTTAAGCAAAGTAGTTAACATTGCAGATCAGCCAAAACATTCTTCTGCATGTTGTGTTCACAGTGCCTTAGCCTGCCAAAACTATTCCACCCAAATCTTGCATCATAGTGGAACGCAACTGGCTTTCCAGAAACTGGCTGCCATTTGTAGCAAAGTTACAAAAAAAAAAGAAAACCAAAAAACCAACACTCTGCTCAAAGAATAACTATAAACAATGATTAATGTCTTGCCATGCAACAGTGGTCGAAACCCCTAAAAGGGTTTGCTAGAAAGCTTCACTCCCTCCATCAGCACTATCAGTATGAGATCCTGTTGCAGCTGTGTTGCTTCCTAAAACCCTAATGGATTAAGGCCACGTCTATCTGTGGAGCGTGGATGTCCAGGTTATTTGTACCAAAAATAAGACTGCTCAATTTAGAGTGAGTAGTTCTTAAAGTCACTGGGCTTGATGACTCAAATGCGAACGAAAAAAGCCTAACAGGAGTTTTCTGCAACAGAAATCAGCAGTTTCAGAGCACTATGCTAGAAAGCAACAGAGAGGAGAGCAAAACACAGCAGGAAACAACAGTTGCTGCCAGGACACATTCAAATTTCATTTTTACAAAATATATATATTTATAGTTGTAGAAAGTATTGTATGCAAAGCAGCATGTAACATTAAAGCAGCAACTATTAGTGTTTTATTTAAATATAGACAGTTTGAAAAGACACCTAAGAAGTGAGAATCAAGAAAAAGTTTTGAGCAAAAGGAAAACTGCCCCTCGGAATACACTGTGGTAAAATCACAGGCCAGAAGTTTTTAAGTGGATACATAAGAGGGGCTGTCAGTGTCCAACAAGAGGCACGTGCAGCACAGCCCACCACTCCCGCTAGCCAAAATGCACAATCGGCAATTGTGCAACACATGGTTCTTTTCGGCATGCACACCCCCACTGTTGGTGAATGTACAAAGAACGTAGTGAAAGAAAACTCTGCCCCTTACAATTTTAAGAAAAAAGAAAAAAAAAGATCTCAGACAATTAACAGATAAGCAAGCTCAGAAATGAGATTACCACAGCAGGGAGGAATTGCATGAAAAACAGAAGGTAGGACGTATTAAATGTTTATGTGCTGAACAAGGGAGTGAAAAAGAGTAAGAAGTCAGAATCGTGGCACAGTGGGGCATAAGGGAAGCCAGACAACAAGAAGCCAGTTGGGCTTCTACAGCTACAACGTACAGGGGAAGAAAATTAAGAAACATAAATACTACTTTTGAGAATTTGGTAAGTCACAAAAATACCTAAAAAGTACAGCCAATTAAACAAAACATTTCATTTATTACACAATAATGCTGCTGGGAGGCAGCATCAAGCTTTATTTCAGGTCTTAAGCTACTGTCATAAAGCTTTAAAATTTACAATATTGGTACAGTACAGGGGTTCCCAAACTATGCTGCATAAAAAGAGCTCTGGACAGGCTGGCAAGCTGCTCAGATAAGCATGATGCAAGCAATCTGCCAGAGCTAGAAGAACCAATGCTTTCACAATTAGTTCATTTTTTAACGAAAAGGGAGAGGCAGGCAATGGCGAGGGGTAACCCACCAGCAAGCAGCTGAGAGAACCTCTGCCAGCAGCTTATCTTTCAGCAGCTTTGTGCTACTGAGACGTTCTGTACATCCTTCAGCCTACGCAATTTGCGGGCAGGAATGAAATTCACTTGCACCTGCTTGGAGGATCGTTCTTGCAAGGCCCCATCTTCACACACCCCCCACCATGTAGCGCCAGGAGCTGGCCACAAGCAGCAAATGCTCACGGTTCCCTGTCTGCAGCTGGGATGGGAGTCCCAGTGGGAGGGTGGGAGCAGTGAAAGGACAC